GATTACAACACTTGCTCTTGTAAGAGCATCCTGCTTACTGTATGGACTAGGAGAGGTCTACCCACTGGAAGCTGGATCCTGGTCTTGGGTCCAGGGTGGGTGGAGAACAGCAAGACCCCAACCAAGCTGTAACGCTGGTGGTGGGGCTTACAGTGGTTATGGTGTCTGTTGGAATGCTCAGGAGTACTCAGTGTTGCTAGGAAGCAGCGATTGGCGGAGGCACCCAGTCGGGGTGCCAGGCGGTCCACCACACACACTGCTTTTTTCATTGGTGTTCAAAAGCAACTGGATAGATTCTGTTTTTTTGTTAGATCACTTGATTTTATTTTAAGTCAGTCTCCTCCACATAGAACACTTAACCATGACACACAACGCTCACAGAAGCACAACCCAGGGCTTTAGGAGGTGGCCCTGGGCAACCTTATATTGACTATGGATGGAATTAAACTCCTGTCCTCCATATAAGTCTAATGCTCCAGTTTTATATATTGGTACGTAACCGATTATAACCATTGCCTTTCGCAGGGACGTTATACACTTCTCCAACATAACACATGTTTTGTTTACCACAATTCATTGATTATGAAATTAATATATTGATTTCTCACATTTATAAAAAAAAAAGCATGAAGTCTGTTAGTTGTTAGAGAATCCCAGGATGTAAAGCAGTGATTCCACAACTCTACATGTCTTCATACAGTGAAAGGAGCTGAAAATCTTAATTAAACAGAACTTGCAATACAGAAAGCCTAAATAGGGCCCTCTTTACAGGAAGTGTTTATGGAAGGCTGTGTAAGTCACATGCAGGGAGGTGTGACTAGAGTTCATAAACAAAGGGATTTAACTCTTAAATGGCAGAGGATTGAGCAGTGAGGCTGCAGGGGCATGTTCTATACACCAAAACTGCTTCATTAAGCTAAAGTTGTTCAGGTGACTATAGTGTCCCTTTAATTGTAGCACTCTGTTTTGTAAGTAACAATCTTGCAATCAGTTATTTAAAAAACCTGTAAAATATAGTTAGTTTTAAAGATAAATAATGCAATGTTAAGTTTTTGTACTTTGGACCACTGTACAGATGGCATTTTCACCTAAAAGTGAGAATACATTTCTACATCAGATTAAGCTGATACTGTATCCAATCAAATACACTAAAAAGAAAAAGAAAACTTATAAAACACAAACTTTACAGGGATGAATACACCTCTTACACCGGCACCTACTTGTATTCCTTAGTGTAAACTATAAGATAAGACCAGGGACTAATGAAAGTATTTAGAAAATTGGGAACGACTAGATGGACCGAATGGTTCTTATTTGCCATCACATTCTATGTTTCTATACATGGGTATTCTTGGGTTGCAGTTGCAATATCTATTCTCCTAAAAAAATTATTATTTTGCATTACAGGATTAATTCTATTAAAATGTCTCTGTATAGTGAATCAGTACCAGTGAAGTGATTAGTTAAGTAGAAAAGGGAAAGAAATCTAATTAGAATTTTTTTTAAAAGATCGATATCTTTGACTTTTCATTTTGTTAATTGCCAAAGCACAATTTCTTTGTTACTCTTTTTATAAAAAAACAAATCATATGATACATTCAATTTGTCTAATACACTTTTATTAATTACCTGTAATGTATTAATAGCAATAGCTACAGTAATAACACTAGGATAGGGAGTTGAGGTGTTATCAGATGAGGACAGTAAGTGATGTAGAAGATGTATAGGAGAAGAAAGCAACGCATTAGTTTAGAAATCGTGAAAAATATGATCTACTATGGCAGATATATTTAGTAAATAAGACAGTCTATTTGGACAGGGGAAAAAAGTAATAATCAGAATAAGAAAATATAATCAATTATAACAGCTTGCTCATAATTTACTGTACATATTGAAATTATTAAAGGAACACTATCATTACATTTTGAATAATTTACTATTATATGACAGGCTATGGTAATTTATCAATACAGACTAAGTAGAGCAACTTAGCTACTTTAAAAGTGTAGACCCCTTGGAAGACAGTATTATCGTATAGATAGATTGGGCAATATTATATCAAAGCATTTAACCTTATATTGGGAATCTAAAGGGGTCCCATAACAGTGCTTCATAAGAGCCACTCAATAATTATATTTTTACACTATTACTAGTAACCATTCATTCCAAATATGGATAGCTAACTATTTGGTGTCCTTTTTAATTGATATTCATTAAGTTTTTTATTTTTTAATTCTTATTTATATACATTTCTCTTACCTGGTATATACACTTTCACTTTTGTTAATCCAAGCTTTTGCACTCCTATCTCCAGCCAAAAAGTAGAAAGATACCAGCACTCCTGGGTTTGTAGTAAGTTATTATTATTATCGCCATTTATATAGCGGCAACTGATTCCGTAGCACTTTACAATATTATGAGAGGGAGGATTTAACTATAAATAGGACAATTACAAGAAAACTTACAGGAGCGATAGGTTGAAGAGGACCCTGCTCAAACGAGCTTACAGTCTATAGGTGTGTTCCTTTATTGTCAAATACAGTGTGACGAAGTGCCCTTCGCCACTTGTGCCTGGAGGGGACTACTGGCTAGCCTCCTGCCTTCCGACTATGGCCCCTGTGCTGATAGCTTTATTTTCCCCAGCAGAAAGGTTTATTGGTGTATTTCTGCCGGGTTGTTTGGGACTTTCAGTATGTGAGTAGTGCTACCCCAGATAGCTATGCCATGGAGCCTATTCGTATAACAAAAGACTATGGAAAATACTTTGGCTCCATTGTGATTGAACTGTATGTAGGTTATCTGAGCGCCATTAGGTAATAATGTGCGCTCAGATCTAAGCTATCTGGGGATATGTTGCATGTATATGCTTTATGTAGTAATTGTAACATTGTGTAATTTTATGTCTTTTTGCAACCATGTGGTTAATGGAGTCTTGCCCCTGATCAATCGGGCTTTCGCCAGAATCACTCCACTACAACTTAAGAGTTTGCAATGACATCCAAACTGGCATGGAACAAGGAGACCTAACTGGATCTATTTTCCTTGATTTTGCTAAGGCCTTTGACACAGTAGACCACGACATTCTACTGCACAAACTCAAAAACTCAGGTATTGGTGATTGTTCGCTAAACTGGTTTCGATCGTATGTATCGGATCGCTCGCAATATGTGTCCATTTCTGACAGCGACTCCCTCCCCCTCCCAGTCACGTGTGGTGTTCCCCAAGGTTCCATTCTCGGCCTCCTACTATTTACATTATTTATAAATGATCTGCCTAATGTCTGCAAATCCTCAAATGTACACATGTACGCAGATGACACAGTAATCTATGCGAGCAATTCCGATCTACCGCAGCTTGAGGCTGTGCTCCAAGACCAGTTTACAGAGGTAGAAAAGTGGATCGCAAAAAACAAACTCTTCCTGAACACTGACAAAACTGTCACAATGATCTTTGGAACAGTACCTAAATTAAACAAATTACACAATTCCCACCTATCCATCAAAACAAATTCAAATGGCACACTGACCGCAGTCCACTCTTTCAAATACTTGGGTATGATGTTAGACCCCAATCTATCTTTTGACCTGCACATAGAAAAGCTTGCATCTAAACTTTATCCAAATCCTGCCTAAGCCCTACAGTAAAGGAAAAGATTGTACTGCAAATGCTGATGCCAATCATTAAATATGGGGATGTAGTATTTGCATCTGCATCGCAATCCCACATTAATAAACTCAACACATTGTATAACTGCCGATTTGTGCTACAATGTAATTACAGGACTCACCATTGTGACATGCTAAAAGAACTAAACTGGCTGTCGCTGGAATCCAGACGCACCCTTCATCTTTCCAGCCTTGTGTTTAAGAGCTTTTCTGGGAAACTCCCACACTACCTGAACACAATGCTTTCCTCAGCTGTTCCCACTTCCTATACCTCCGATCCAGTACCAACACTTTACTTAGTCTACCTCAATACAAAAAGAAAACGGCCCGATCCTCCTTCTCCTACAGAGCACCGCAATTGTGGAACGACCTCCCGCACAATTTAAAAGCTTCTCTAAGCCTAAAGTCCTTTAAGAGATCCCTCTCTACATACCTCAAAACAGAATGCACGTGTCATGGTTGATTATATATTTCCTGCCTGTTCTATGTTAAATGTTGTATTTATTGTGTATTAATATTGTTTTTGTATTTTATTGTACCCTAATTGTAACAATGCAATGATTTGTGGACCCAGGACATACTTAAAAACGAGAGAAATCTCAATGTATCTTTCCTGGTAAAATAATTTATAAATAAATAAATACCATACCCTAAAATAAGATATTTCCGGAAAGAATATAAGATCTTAAACAGACCACAGAATTACAACTTTCAGATATTTTACACAGAATCCCAAATAAAGCATTACGGTATATGTCTACTATTAAACAAAAATCAGAAACACTAGATACAACGCCTTTTGAGAAATTATGTTGGTCACAAGAGCCCCAAAATAGATTGATATTGAAAGTCTACAAAATATTAACAGAGGGCTAGAAAATGGTTAAACCATAATTTTTTTTTAGAAAATGGGAGTTTCATCTCAACAAAAAAGAAAAAGGCTGTGAAATAAGAACACACATAAGGCTTTAATAAATTATACCAACTATAGTATAGCAGTAGGAAGGAGATAGGAATTTAAAAAATATATACAAGAGAGGACAACTAGGGAGGAGAATACAGGGAATAGGTCTGTTGAGTGGGGGGATTGTTTTGTATGGTATATATTTTTGTTTGTTTTGATATGTTTGTTATTTTCATATAAGGAATATGTAATCACTATGAAATATGGAGTAACAGATTGTTAATGTAGATAATCTATACTCGTGTTTTATCAGATTATATAGATGATTTAAAAAAAGGTTCTTTGTGGTATAATAGGAAATGGCTAAAAGTGTTTTTTTTTTCATTCTTTTAGATTAACAGCATACAAAATGGGCTTCATGGTTGAACTTCATGGACTTGAGTCTTTTTACACCATGACAACTATGTAACTCTAGTTTCCTTGAATGAAGATCAAATCTGGTATGCTGTTTGGTGACGTTTCTCTTTCTCATTTACTTCCCTTCCATTTAGTTGTCACAGATTTCATTTTTTTATCACCTTTAACCTAAAATCCTAATTTTGGCCAGGATTTGTATTTTTGTTCTTATTACATAGTTATGTTACACTGTTATGGTGAATATGTGCATTGTTATCGTGCTTTCTGGAATGTCTTTGTTGCAATGAATCACAGATAAAAATGTAAACAATATACATTTTACAGTAGATGTTTTCCAATGCAGTTTCTTCTATTATAATAAATATGTTTAAAGGAGCAACATATAATGGGATTATGAACTATCAGAGTATTTTTAAGATAAAAATGTAAAATAAAACCCCAGAGTAATTGATTAAATTTATTACGATTTATTGAATAAACTGCAAAGAGTATAGAAACAGTTAATTGTTATTTATATAAATCCTAAAAAATTTGATCAGGTTTTCATTTTACATCCTAAAAACACTCTGACAACCACAATACTATACTAAATACAAGGTATTTAATTGTATGGGAGGGGTTAGAAGAAATGTTAGAAGGGTGGACTGGCATTTTATCTAAAAATGTTTATTCATGTTACTGAGTGAAGTTTCCAGGAATATTATTGACCTTGAAGTAGGAGTTCAACATGACTTACCAGACAGAGGAAACTCTTCTTAAGCCCATGGCTCATTCCACCTGCCTCAGGACATCCTGTCATTAAGACCAACAAGAAAAGCCAAACAGTTCTATTTAAGTACACACTATAATAATCATAGCCTCTTGACTTTATAGACACCCGTGATAATTTGTGTCTTTCATGGGCATCTGTCAGCTCATTTAATAAGAACGTCCTTCGCTCAACATAAATTTAATCCATAGAAATAGCCACATAGTGTGACTTTTCAATGCAGCTGCTTCAAAGTTCAGGAGGTCCAGCTTGTTTTTGTGACAACTAACAGAATTTGGCTTAACAGAGCTTTTATGTAATCAGGTTATTGAGATCATAGCATATTAGGTTGATCAAACGTGTCTGTTTTTTTTATCCATCTAAGAGTAAACACATACAGTAACATGCATATTTATTGTGTTTTAGAAATGTCACATACATATGGTTTTGTGAGCACTCTCACAATCTGACAGTTAATTTAACTGAAACTTCACACTATTTTGTTTAGTTTCCACAAAATACTTTTAGCTGCCGCATTTTTGTCCACTAGTTACTTGTCTTTGATCTCTTTTCCAGTATCCTTGATGACACAAGCCCCGGTTACAGATTTAGCTATGTAGCTGAACATATAGTGTAGGAGGGAAAGACATGTCAGAGAACTTTGTTTTCCAACTTGGTGAGGACCAGTAGAGGAGTTAAGGAAAAAGCAAAGGAGGTTTCTTGCAATACAAGACTAAACCAACACAGGGTATCATTGGACTAGGTAATGATACTGTTCAATAGGCAAAGATTTTTGGTTTTCAATGTAAAAATATACACAATGCATAGAGTTTTCCTTAAAACAGAGGACACAATTACACTGTTCATGATACCTTTGTGCTTTTTATATCTAAAAGCAATTTCAATAAATTTTTTTCAGGTACCTGTCCAATCTTAATTTTTTCGAGTATATTCTCCCATTTATTAAGTCTTTGGCAGTTACATCATTATAGCTTTCTAGCAACACAAAGCTATGTAGACAATCCTTTCCACCTTTAAGACTGTTTGGATTTCCACTATTGCCGCATTAAAGGAGCATGTTGTCATATACAGTATGTCTCCTCATACAATAATTTCTTATTTTTGTGTAGGCAGCATTTAGGAACTAACTCTCTTGCCTGGCCATCACACACAGGTATCGTCACAATTTGTGGATGAAGAAATGTACCATTTGCAAATCAAAGAGAATTAAGGAAATGTTATTTAAGATATTGTACTGTGTTTACTTTTCTCAACAATGGCATTTCATGGTGGCAATACAGCTTTCAAATGACTATCGGACAACTAAATGCAAAGTTGTTCCACTGTTACAGTTCATACTGTTCCTTCGCTTCAGCTTCCCTCTCCTGCAAAATCATACTAAATCTTTGGATGTGGCACCCTTCATCCCTATATCATCATACATTTGATTTTGCATTTAGAATGGACTGATTGAAAACCTTTCAGAACAAATATTCTCTCACTGTACAAAATTTCTTGATCATTCCTTCCAATAAAGATTAAAAGCTACTCTAAAACTTTTACTTGATTTGATGTACTCTTAGGGGGACCAATCCTACCATGATACCCTAATAGGCTTTCAAAACTTGAAACTTCTCAAACGTCCTATTTCTACAGATACCTGGAGAGTGACATCCTTTATCCTCTGTCCTATTTAATTACACTTCTTGCTTCCCTTCCACCACACCCTCACCCATTCATCTTTCCTACTGTTTTGCTCTGTAGTTTATTATTCAGGGTTAACTTCCATATTGATACCTTTTTTTCTTCTAACTCAGTTTCCCCCTCCTTTTCCACAAAACCAAATTACGAAGTTCATCGAGTCTGACACTGTTCTGACACTGTTTTGTTTTCTACTATGTATTGTATGCTGCGGATTGTCTAATTGTCAGTGTTTTAATCAGCACTGCTAATCCACTCAATCAAATACTTGTTGAACTCAACAATAAAAAAGATTTATAGGTAATGTAAAAGAAAATATTTCCTTTTGGTTTCTGAGAGTATAAGGTTGGACCAATCTACATTAAAACTTCCCTCATAAACCTTTCAACCGTCTACAAATTAATAGATTTTGAAGTAATTTATATATAGTCAGAAAAAGCTGAGAGTTCTTTTGTATATAATAAAAACCATTGGCTTTGTCAGCATGTTTTTACTTAATGCCAATTATGGATTCCTAGTCCAAATATGTTTTACTCTAAATGTATTTATTGTTTTTAATTGTACATGTATTAATCTTGGAAAACTGATAGTCTCCCTACGCGTTTGAGTCTGAATTGAGATGTTTCTCACAAAGCATCAACTTACTAAATAGCTTTTTACATGTTTTTCATTTTCTTTAAAGGTAAAAATCCACAAATAAAACAACATTCTATAAACCAGGAACTTATGATTAGCATGCCAAAATATTCACACTAATGATAACCAGAATACATAAAGGGGACATCTATCAAAACTCCTGGCACCAGCACAACATTAGTGTTTTGATTTGGCACCGTATTCACGATTTTTTTTTCTTCATTCAAATCTCTTTCGTGATGATTTAAAAAATGAAAAGTTTCACAGCTTTGTAAAACATAGTCCTTAGCCAAACCTCCTGTTTTCTTCAAATTTATTCTTGATTCTTGATGTACTCCGTGTAAAGGTTAACGTAAGATACAGATAAGATACACTGGAAAGATACAGATAATAAGAGAACAATCATTGATTTTCAGGAGGAGTCAAGTCAGCACTTGATGTTTGTCCCCCCTCGCTTCATATTTCTCACCCCTCACTGGTCACTTTCCTTACATTCTTCACCCTCCTCTTAAATATTTCTATACACATATTTTTGTATGTATGTATCTTTCACTAGTGGCAGCCAGTCCCTGTTACTACTAGTGAAATGTCGTAGTGTGCAAGCAGCCACAATTCACTAATAAAACATCATAGGCATTTTAGCAAGTAGTGGCGTGGGGCCACATGGGGCTGCACTCAATCAGTTTTTATGTGGGAATATAATTATTTGCAATGGTTTAAAAACACTAAGATTATTTTAATCTAAAAAAATATATAGCAAAACGTAGATTAACATTTAACATATGCCAGCCATTAACTATGTGGGAATCAAAATAAAAATGGTGTCTCTTTAATTCTGTATGAGGTTTCTGCAGGGCCTTCCCCCTCATTGGTAGCTGTTTGGATAAGTAGTAAGTACTAGACATGTCAAAAAGTTGGGACAGGATTAAAATATGCCCTGGTTCAACAGGTTTTGCACTTGCCTAGTCTCTTTTAAAGGACCACTACAGTGCCAGGAAAACATACTCATTTTCCTGGCACTATAGTGCCCTGAGGGTGCCCCCACCCTCAGGGTCCCCCTCCCGCTGGGCTCTGGGGAGAGGAAAGGGGTTAAACTTACCTTTTCTCCAGCGCTGGGTGAGGAGCTCTCTGTGACCCCCAACTGCATAGGTTCGGGTTTGGACTGTATAGAGAGGCCAGGAACAACCGGTCTGGAGAAATGAGGTGCTAATGGCAAAGTCTGAGTCTATTAGCAATTAGCATAATAAACGTAATAAACCCATTGAGTTTTTTGGGTAGTTCTTTGGCAGCAATCTCATCCAACATAGTCTCAGATAATCCATTCTTAAATGCTGAGATTAATCCGCTGTTAGTCCAGTCTACCTTGGAAGCCAAGGTGCGAAATTCTATGGCATACTACGAGATAGACCAGTTCCCTTGTCTAATATGCATTAGGGCAGTGGAGGCGTCATACTCTCTGCCTAATGGTTCAAACGTAAGTTTCAATTCCGCAAGGAATTCCTGGTAATTGTGTGCAATGCTCCTACTACTCTCCCATAACAGATTACCCCAAGCTAAAGCTTTACCTTTAAGTTGGTTCATCAGGTAACCAATTTTAGCTCTGTCAGTGGGAAAAGATCCCGGTGAGGCCTCAAAATGATACTCAGTTTGGTTAATAAATCCCTGACATTCTTGAATATTACCATCAAAATGCTGGGGAGGAGATAGGGAGAGAGTAGATGCCTTATATACTACAGGAGGTACATTAGGCGGAGGTGACACAGTTGGAGAAGCCGCAGGTTGCAGATGCGCTGTTCGAGTAAGGCGCGTACTGAAAGCCTGGGCAAACTGATCCATACAGTGATCATTCTCCACTAGCTTTCTCTCGCAAGCAGCTATGTGCTGACACAATTCTACAGGATCTATGGCCATGTCGTAATGTCAGGATTACTAGTTGATCCAGCACATAGAATTGTGTCACACACATGACTAATAGATAACGTATTACCAGGCCTTAGAATGGTCGGACTTAAAGTACCAAAGAATAATCAGGATACTTGCCGAGGTCAGGGGATTCAGAAAGAGACACAACGATAAAGGAAAGCGTGTCATTATGCCTGTCACTGTGTATCTCTATATAGTCTGTGTGTATCTGTATCTCCATGTGTGTCAGGCTGTGTATCTGTGTGTCTG